AATTATATGATATGTTTCCATTTTAGCTGGATCCTCTAGTGAAACCTATTGCAATGAAGTTCAGTGGCCCATCAAATGAAAGACAGGAAGCTGTTCTAAATGCTTTCAAACATGCTTGGAAAGGTTATAAACAGTATGCATGGGGTCATGACAATCTCAAACCAATATCTGCCACTTACCATGATTGGTTTGGCCTAGGATTGACGATTGTTGATTCTCTTGATACAATGTACATTATGGGCCTACAGGATGGTAATATGTTTATTATGTGTACTGCTACTTTTTATTTTTGCAATTATTCTTGCTAAATGTAATTGTTACTTACAATTTTCTATATTGCCATTTCAGAATTTGATGAGGCAAAGAAATGGGTTTCACATTCCTTACGGTTAAATGCTGACCGGGATGTGAACTTATTTGAAGTGACTATTCGAGTCCTAGGAGGTTTACTTAGTGCTTACCACCTCAGCGCTGAAAGGATATTTTTAGAGAAAGCGGTTAGTCAAGTCTTCAGCCTTCAAATTTAGTCTCCACTTAGAAAGTCACAACAATCATAGCAATTAATTTGTATACATTTTAATTTTAATTGCAGGTGGAGCTAGGAGATAGACTGCTTCCATGCTTTGAATCTGACTCCGGTGTTCCATTTTCTGATGTCAATCTTGGTTCTCTAAAATCTCATTCACCTAAGTGGAGCCCTGATAGCAGCACCTCAGAAGTCACAACTGTCCAACTTGAGTTCCGAGATCTTAGTCGCATTACTGGTGATCCTAAATATGAGGTGATTATTGTTTTGTTATTATTTGGTTTCTTTCTTCAATTTTGATTTAAGACTAATCTTATTATTTTCTCTCTATATTTTTAGAAAGCTGTTTCAAGAGTATCAGAGCATATTCACCGCTTACCAAAGACTGACGGACTTGTTCCAATTTTTATTAATGCCCACACCGGACAATTTCGCACTTACTCCACAATAACTCTAGGGGCCCGGGGTGATTCATACTATGAATATCTCCTTAAGCAGTGGTTGCAAACTGGCCAGACAGTTGATTAGTAAGTGAATTGGATTAAACAAACATGAAACAAGTAACTTTATGTCCCCAGTTACTAGTCTTAATCTGTGATATCATTGTTTCAGTTTCAGGGATGACTATTTAGAAGCAATGAGAGGAGTTGAAAAACACCTTGCTCGGCACACACCTCGTAAAAAGTATCTTTTTATTGGGGAGCTAATGACTGGGGGCAAGGATTTCAAACCAAAAATGGTAAGTATTTGTTAAAGCTGTAATGCTTTATGACTCATTTTTATTCCTAGTTCTTGCCCTCACAACAATTTTGTTTTCTAGGATCACTTGACCTGTTACCTACCTGGGACAATGGCTTTAGGTGTGCATTATGGCCTTCCTCAGAAACATATGGACTTTGCCAGTGAATTGTTATACACATGCTATCGGACCTATAAAGATCAACCAACAGGACTTGCTGCCGAAATCACCTATTTTAATTTACAGGTACAATATGTCATTGCAGATAAATGATTCTGTGCTTTCCTAGCTGTTTTCTTTTTAATCCTGTCTGAAACCCTGTTTTGCTTTCTTTTGGTATAGGACACTGGAAAAGATGATATGTTTGTAAAAACTAATGATGCTCATAATCTACTACGACCAGAAACTCTAGAGAGTTTGTATATTATGTACCAGCTGACAGGGAACACAACCTACCAAAACTGGGGATGGGAAATTTTTCAGGTGAGTCAATGAAGTTTCCAGATACAAAATACATGAGGGGTAAACACACTGCTTAACCGGATATTACTTTGAATTTTTGTTCCAGGCCTTTGAAAAGTACACCAAGACATCTGTTGGATACACCTCAATTGGTAATGTAAAGTCAACCCAAAGTCCTAGACCTAAAGATATGATGGAATCATTCTTTCTTGGAGAAACTCTGAAATATCTATACTTATTATTTTCGGATGATAGGTATCTGATTAGTCTTGATCAGTTTGTTTTCAATTCAGAAGCTCACCCATTACCCATTTATGACTCATAAAAAATGTGTTACTACATTATTGATATGATATTAATAGCAATACTGACTTAATTCTCAGACAATTAGATTACCTATCTCTTTATTTTTTATTAACTTGTTTGTAGTCTCAAGGAATCTCTTGTAGTCACCATATTTTCAAAAAAATGTGCATAAACAATTATTATTTCCTTACTTCCAATTACTTTTAAATTTATTTATCTGCCTTACTCAGTTGTTTCAGAAGGGACAGGGTAGGTTAATATTATTTGGTAACTCGTTATTAGTTGTTCACCAATACTTTCGTGTATACCTTTGTGCTATTTTAAAATGTATAAGAGGCTGCTGCACTTCTACTTTTCTCTACCTTTATTTACTTAAATCTCATTGTATAATTTTTGGCTGAACTGAAGATGATATATACTCTCAATAGTTATATGTAGCATTGCCATTTTTATGGACTGTTCAATTTGTTGGTTTGTTGGTATTTTTTGTTTTTCTTCTTTGTTTTTGTGTTGACTCAAGGATAGTTTGACTACCAGACTGGCCTTACTGCTGTGATATTATTGTGATTTGATAAGGCCTCCCAACATCCTTTTTTAACTCATATTTCCATTAACTCTCTCCATACATTCATTTGATTTGGTTCTCTTAAAGGAATCTACTGAATCTAAAAAAGTCAATGCCAATGTAAAATTTGGCAATTGAATTTCTCATTCTTGCAAATATGACACTCCTATTTTAATCCGAGTGCTTGTACTGCATGGTGTTTCTTTGCACCCTGTTTCTGCGTATTTAGTCAGCAATATTGTTGTTCATTGTATGTTGTCCCCATATGATGTTTTACAATACTTTGTTCTGAAGTACTATCAGCTTTCGATGTTTACAAATATGATCGTGATGTAAAATTTTACATTGTATGTGTTAATTAGCCAATAACTTGCATATCTTGTCGGGTACTCAGATTCTTGGTATTCTTCATGTGGGGCGTGATATTTTTTTCTCCCTTTTTTATGTACATTGAAAATTAACATGTTTTTAAAGTTAGAATTTTGATAGAAAGGTGAATGGATCTTTATGTTTAATCCACTTTTGTGATACAATCTGGATGTTTGTCAATTTGAAACTGCTCTTGGTTTTTATTTCTATGATTTGTTGTTTAGATTATTGTATCTCAATTTATATGCTTGACTATTGTGATGTAAATGTTCTTTGAATTTTGAAGGGTTTAGTCTCACCCTTGCCAAACTTATGTTAAGTATTGTTAATGTTGTAGATAATTTTTGTAGACATGGACATGAGAAAAGAATATGTAAGTGGGCCTTCTAAAATTTAGATAAAATAATTCTTCTCCCTTCTGAAAATGACCCACTGGTTGAATTGACAAAACATCTGCATCTTCAATCTTCACATATCAGTTTGTCCATAGGAATTTGGTACTATCCAATCATTATTTACCTGTCTTAATACTGTATTTTCACAAGAAAGGTTTGGTGGTTTGGTGGTTTCTTCTTTCATAACCACCATAACTTAAGTAGTATTTTCCTACCAGAATGAATCCGTTTCTGTTCAATAATCTCACATTTGTAGATTTAATCATTGATATGCATTTGCATAACCTTATGTAGCTGATGACCTGTGCCAAGTTTACCTTGTGATTGGCTATCTCTTTTCATCTGTGCCGTTATTATGAAAATTGTACTAAACTACAGAATATGCAATGTTTAGTACCGTAAGTCACATTGTGGTGCAGCTTTGCTGTGAAATGCCACACTTTATATGCAAATCGCGTTAGACTGAACGATTTTATCCTGTTCCCTACAGTAATTTTTTTTCTTTGAAATATTTCTAATTTATTATGAGAGAGGGCCTTGTGGAGATCTGATACCTCTGGGATGCAGAATTTTTTGTAGATTGCAACTGTCATGCTAGACAAATAGTTCAATTTATTTTCATTTTATTATTTTATTTTTGTGTATATATTATTCCCTATCTAGCACAATGGCGAGAACATAAAATTCTGTCAGATGTATTTAGTTAAATGGACTGCATTTCTTGTTACTCCATGTTATACGATGTCATACCTACTATGAGTAAGTACGGTATTTTATTTCTGTGGGTTTTGATATATTGTAAGATTGTATATACTATTTTCTCTTTATTTTAAATTGTAATACATGACCGGTTGTCCAAAAGCAATTCAACATTATTGTGATTGATAACTAGTCATCAGAGTGGCTTGGACAGGCATGTTTGGAAGACTATGATTTAAGTATGACTTAAGTTTTAGCACAGGATGAATGTGATCTGTGTAACTTTTTTTTTGTCTCGCACACAAATTCGAATGTACTTATAAAAAAGCTACTGAATCTATTTTGGTAAGCCGAAATCAGTAAAAGGCATCAGGTATAACCAATCTCCTCCTTGCCCCCCTCCCCCCAGTTAATCTTCCTGCCCACTCTCAGCTACCTACTTGCTACACCTGGACCGATTGCCCATTCGCTCTGGGCTTCCGGTGCGACAGGGCGCTCATTTTCGGTAGATACAAAACAGAGTCGAATTCGGTCAAATTGCTGAGCTACAGTTTAAACGGGAAAGTCATGTTTCTCGTTCAAATTCAGTGATGCGTGGTTTTTCATCGCCGGATAGATGGACATGATTTCTACATCGCTCAGTAAGAGTGTTATGACTGCATCCGTATCACGAAAATATCGGCGAATTAGAGTCAACTCGGTCAGGATCACTTTTAAAGAGCCACACGAACGCCTCTTGAATGACTCCAAAGGGGCGGTGTCATTCAATATCGCTCTCCTCACTCCTCCATGTTTAGTGTACCCTCTGGTAGCGCCTGTGAGGCATGCAGTTCTGTTGCACTCGGGTGTCGAGCGGGTCTGCCTATCTCCCAGGCGGCCGCTTGACTACGGGAAGCTTGTTCAGTCAAGTACTGATTCAGTACTACTGAACCGACCGAAATTTGTGGCGGCGGTTCAAATTTCCACTCAGAATAACACTTATTGGGACATTGTATAGCATATGAAAGAAGGGCGTCTGGTGAAGAAACTAAACCCCGGCTGGAGCTGCACGTACCCCGCGGAACTATAATCGGTGCCGCATCCAGCGGGACTTAAGCTCCATCTCCATGGGGCGCTCTTTATCGCAATTGTTTCGCAATCAAATCCCTTTTAATTTTTGCCGTGCGCGTCTCGGTCGCGTGCCCTGAGCGCGTGCCCGCCGGCGGCGCGTCCCCAGCCCCCGCCGCGGTACCCGCCGCCCGCGCTCGCGCTCCGGCTGTCCTCTCTGCGCCTCGCGCTCTCTGTATGTGCCGTGCCCGCCTGTTGTGGAGCCCCGATCATAGAGCAAACAACAAACAGTGAGTGGCATTCTGTGGACCCGACTGGACCGAGACAGAGGCGCGCTTCCGCCCGCGCGCTCGTCCACAGCCAGCATGGAGCTCAGCCAGGTGAGAGAGAGAGGATAGCTGCATCCAAACAAGAGGGTCGCTTGGGTCTCTGAGCGTGCGCAGAGGCCGAGTTTTGGTTTTCTGCTCAGACTTAAAGACCCTACAGCGACCCAAACGATCCGAGCGACCCTATAGTGCTCGAGGGAGAAATGAGAGGGGTGTCATGTGGCTAGAAGCCTAGGCCGGGGTTGAAGTGCAGTAGGACCTTTAATGCCTGAAGCCCGAGGAGGGGGGCCGGAGAGATCGGCGGCCTCAAGCTCCTCATCGTAGAAAACTCGATTGGTAGAGTCAGCCAGGCGAGGCAACAGAAAGGCGGTCTCCTAGGTTTGCTGGTTACAATCCGCATGCAACCAGGAAAACGGGCGCAAAACGTGAGTGCTTACCAAACGAAAACTGAAACATTAACAAGTATACGAGTGCGCTTCCTCCACCTGCAGGTTGAGGCCGCGGTGGCCGAGCCCGTGATGGCCGTGAGCGTGCGCGAGGCCTGGCACGAGTACGGGCGCTGGCGCCGCCGAGGCCGAGGACGACGCCGCCCCTCAGCCCCGGAGACCGTCCTGCAGGGCGTCAACATGACGGTGCGCCGCGGCGAGGTGTAAGTAGTAGTACAGCCTCGGCGGTCAGGGTCAGGCCGGGCCGGCGGCCGGTGGTCAGACCGGCGGCCACGGCCGCTCCGCTCAGCTGACCGGACACCAGAAACCGGCCCGCCAAAGTAGAGGGCCGCGCATAGGAATTACACCTGCGGCGTGTAGTGTTGGAGTTACGAATGACATCTAATTGGCGCCATTTAGTTTCGAGCGAGGCGGAACAATATTAAGCAAAGCGAAATAATCGTGCGTGTTTCTGTGTGTGGTCGAGAGGTACGCGCTGCTGGGACGCAGCGGCTGCGGCAAGACGACGCTGCTCCGCGCCCTGGTCGGGCAGCTCGCCCTGGACGACGGCGAGGTGCGCGTCTTCGGCCGCGCTCCGGGGGACCCCCTCGCCGGCGTGCCCGGCCGCGCCGTCGGGTACATGCCGCAGGAGGTGGCCGTCCACGACGGCTTCACGGTCGGCGAGACGCTCGCCTTCTTCGGCCGCCTGATGGGAATGAAGTCCGCGGCCATAAGGAAGTCCACCGACACGCTGGTGAGTGCGCTCCGCCTGCCCGGGTCGCACGAGCTCGTCGGCGCGCTCAGGTAAGAATCCACAAGGTATTCTTCTCGAAAAAACGGGGGGAAATTGAAATATTCCCCAGGGGTCCGTAACTTATCATTTAAGCTAAACGTTTGATCTTTATCTCATATTGACTAGTTAAAAGCGTGCATACAACGACAAAATTCAGAGATGCGCAGGAGAACAAGTCATACGATGCATAACGCTAATAACGCAAGCCGTTTACGAGATACAGATACCTAAAACTCGCTTATTCGATAAGTTACGGACCCCTGATATTCCCAGAAAATAAATGGACAAACACAAGATTTTTGGGGGTCAATTTTCCCAAAAAATATTTTTGGGGAGTTAAAAATTCCTCAGTTGGACGAAGCCGGTCTTCCACCGATTGCTTAGTGCGACGTTACGCGTGCATCTCAAATATGATTTCGAGTTGGATCGCACTGCAGGTCAGGTCGGTCGGTCGGGCGATGCTCGCTGCCCGCAGCGTGTCGGCTCGTCGTGACCGTGCCGGACGTGCCGGTGCGCACGCCCGGCAGGTACGACAGGTACGTCTGCGCTTCCGCCCCGGGCGCGGCGCGCAGCGGGCTGCAGGAGGTCGCTGCGCCTGCAGAGGTGGGGACGCGGCGGTGTGACGCGTCTGCCCGTGTGAGCCCTGGCGAAGGTAGGGAAGAGCGGAAGAGAAGGGGGAGGGCAGCGAGGCTCGGGGCTCGGGAGAAGGGACGGAGTGAGAGGCCGGGAAAGGGGAACCCGGGAATCCCCGATCCCGACCCATCGGTGTACTGCTTCCACTGCTTGTTCTTCACTGTGTAGTGTATACCTGTTTATTCGGAATCTTTTTATCGTTTCAAAAAAACAGTCACCGGCCTTTTAAAAATTTTCCTTTAAAGTCATGTCTATTAACGTGGGATTAACGAAGATAGTCAGTTATGTCATCCTCTTTTTGTAGCGGCGGCGAGAAGCGGCGCGTCTCGCTGGCCGTCGCGATGCTCCACGCCCCACCACTACTCGTACTGGACGAGCCCACCGTCGGCCTGGACCCTCTGCTGCGCCACAGGTAGGTTGGCCCCCGGCGGGAAGGGGCAGGGACGGAAATGGCTGCGAGCGGTCTGCCTACTCCACGCCTGAAGCCCCCTGCTGCGGCCGGGTAGGCAGTCCCGCCGGGCACGGCTGCGCGTGGGCTGCCTACTCCGCGCCTGGGACCCCCTGCTGCGGCCGGGTAGGC